GTTGCTGCTTGCTCAACTTTCCAGCAGTTTTATTGTAAATTCGAGGATTCTGGGAAGGAGGAAAATGCTCAAACAGTGTGTGCGTGGCAAAAATAAGTTGTGTCGTTTCGTGATGCTATTATTAAAGTTGCAAAACAGTTCTCTAGAGATGCTGCAGGCTGGATCCTCACTGCTGCAACCTTCTGGAGTCCAGAAGCTGGCAGAGCTATAGAGGCTGGAGCTAGTCACTGAGCTGGCCTGCCAGTCTCGCACGCCGTCTACATGGTGCTGTGCAGCAGCGGCTGGCACAAATTGAACAAGCACAAAATCGAGTGCCTAGAGTATTTCTTTTCACATGTGTAATTGGATTGAGAATTGGTTTTAGATGGGCTCAATCCACAAATACCAGTGAAAACAAGCCAATGACATATACTACTGTGTTGATAAGTATTTTTGTACTCTGAGCACCAGTAATACATAAAAAAAAAAGCCCAGTCCTTCCATTTTGTACAGATCTGAGTATTATTTTTGCCTGCGTAAAGGTAATGTAATTTTAGAAAAATGTATGTGTGGATTTCTAAGACTGGACGCTAGTAGAAGAAATTGTACCATAGCAAAATATTATGATATATTAGCTTTTCAGTTCCGTACACCACTATCTTGTCAGAGCTCTGAATTAATTGACTGGTATTGACTACACGCTTCAACACTGAGTTACAGAATTGGATTGTTAAGAATTAGGTTATCCCCTGTGATTTAAGCTGTTAGACAAAATCACAGACACATAAGGTTGGAAGAAACATATGGCTCATATCTCCTTTGAGAAAAAATCACGTCTGTCTAGTATATTCCTGAAAGAAGTTTGTCTGTCCTGTTCTTCTAAAGCTTTGATGATGGGAATTCTTTAAGAAACCTCTTCAAATGCTGAGGAAAGGGTTGTCTAACAAATATCTCTCTTGCTGCAAGTCACTTCTCATCTTATTCTGTGTTGGCATGGAGAAGACTTGATTCCTTTTGCAAGTCTTTTATACAGGTCAAGAATGCTATCAGGTCATCATTCAGTTTCCTTTTTTCTAGATTAAATAAATCCCCCCCCCACCCCCTGGATTTATTGAATCTCATCTCTCCTTTTACTCTCATATAGTTTTCTTGGTTTATTTCTTTTCTTATCATGTCCCAAAGTGGACACACAACCCTAGTTATCAGTGCTGAGCAGACCAGAAAATTACATTTATATTCCCCAGAATTTCATTTGTTTGGCTTATGGGTCAGTAAAATCATTGAGGGAGGAATGTTTTTTCAGCAGCATCATACTGTTGACTCACAGTCAGTTCATCATTGACTGGAGGACCCGAAGCCTCGCCTGCCGTAGTGCTGCCTTGCCAGCTATTCTCCACTTTGCAGCTGTGCATTTGACTTCCCCCCATGAGGAGTTCTTTGCATTCTTTATTGAATTTGATCTTATTGATTTCAGAGCATTTCACCAACGTGCCAAGATTACTTTAAATTCTAATCTTGTTCACCGAAGTGCTCAAAAACCCTTCCATCTCGATGTCATCCACAAATTTTACTCTGTTCGAACCATTACTCTCATCCAAGTCATTAATGAAAGCATTGAGTCACACTGACCCCAGCCATACCCTTGCGGGACCTCACTTACAACATCCTCCTGGCTTGACAGTGAATCATTGATAATTACTCTGGACAAGTGGTATTTCAACCACTTGTACACCTGCCCAGCTGCAGTGATTTCGGCCTGGCCTCATTCTTTTTTTTTTCTGTTCAGCACGTAGAAACCTCCTTTGGGACCACATCAAAAGGTTTTAAAAACCCTTGCTCATGTTTGAAGCTTACCACGTACCAGCCAGGTCAGGGATGCCCGGTGTACACAGCTTACGGACTGGATCCTCCAAGTTCATTTGTGTAGCCCACAGCCAACTGCAAAGTGCCTGCCGTACCTACGCAGACAGCAGGTTATGTTCACCTGAGTGATTCAGCCATAAGCAGTACTTTTGTGGCACTTACCCAACAAATCCAGCACCCACAAGAAAGTATGGACTTTTGGAGGCATAAAGATGACGGGTTTTGTGGGTACAACATTTCCATAACACACAGGAAAAGCAAGGCATCTCCTGCGCAGCCCCAGAGAGGTCACGTCCCCAGCAGCAAGAGGTTTAGGTGCCTACAGCACGGAGCTGCTCGTCCTGAAGAAGAGATGATTAGATCTGTTTAACACAATGTTCTTCAAAAGCCTTTATTGCCTGACTGTATTCTGCATGTTTAGGAACAAACTGTATTAGTTTGTTTTAAAATGCTTCTCAGTGACAGTCCCAGCCCGACTCCCCCAAAGTCTCTATTTTCTTCATTTTCTCACTTTTAATGACAGGTATTATGTTTATCCACAGGGACTTTTCTTCTAGCAGCTGTCAAAGATTATTGTTAGTGCTTCTGAAAATGCTCTAGCACTTTAAATTTGCCAGCATAAAGCTCAGCAGGCTGGGCTGATTTCAATGTATCTACATCTCTTAAATTTTAAAATGTATTCTTTATTTGATTTTTGACTTTTCTATAGCCCTGTTAAAAAGAAACACAGTAAGTTCCTGGGTACCAGCACATTGTTTGTGACTTAAAACCATTGAGTATCTCAGTTTTGGTGTCATCTGCCTTTCCTCTCGCTAAGCCACAGACCTTCCTGCAGCCTCCCCTTTTCTAACATCCTTTCAAAGCTGTCATTGCAATTTGTCCCTTGTGACTCATTTTGTGCCTTAGCTTTTCCGAGTCCTTCCTATCCAGGCCCCCTTTGTCCCTCTATCCCTTCCTGTACAGCTGATTTGGTGTGATTCCTGTTATTTACCTTGCAAGGTGAACCTGGAAATGCAGCAGGGCATTTCTGCGGTGCTCATTGCAGTCACGAGGACAGCAAGGAGGCAGTGCAGTCACCGGGCAGCTCCTTGTCACACAACCTGGCATGTACACCGCTGGCAAAGCAGCTGCAGCTTCTCTAGAGCCAGCAGTAGATTAACTCATGGACATGCTACCTTCCCAAGGCAGCACAGCTTCATCTTCACATCCTGCAGCTGTCTGTGTTTGAGCTGCGGGTCGCTTTCAGCTGTCTGCTCCTACAAAAAAATTTCCACGTACTTAATTTAAACGGTGGCTATAGATACACCTAATACCAAGAAGGACGTTTACCATTTTACCTTAACAAATCTTAAAGCATTTACAAGGGAACCCGTCCTTTCTTTTTGCAGGTGGAGGAACCAAGATGCAGAAATAAAGGTGAGGGCTATATCCAGGGCAATGCTTGGCACGGGCTGTGTTCAGAAGGGCAACCAGGCTGCCGAATCCCGACCCAGCATCCTTACCACAGCCTCACATCATCTCCACAGATGAACTGCTGACTTCTCTCCATACCCATCAAGGACTTTGTGATATACATCCAACTCCACTTTCCATTTCAAGCTGCTGCATGCTACTCAACCGCTTGGCACAGACAGCAGGGATGCCCTCAGGAAACTGAAGTTTCTGTAAAGCCACACGTTGCTTCAAAGTATCATTACAATACCCAACTTCCAAACTTTTTTTGGAAAAGAGTTTGAAAGTTAGAAGAGCTAGGAAGTTAAAAGTTTGGAAGGCAAAGTTAGAGCCTTTGTGTTGACAAGATGCAGAGTACAGCAGCACAGTAATGCTCTGTGCACTACATTAATGCAAATAAGTCACAAACCTGCACGTATAGGCTGACGGTAATTGTATAGCACAATGTTTTCACTCTTTCACAAGAGGACTGCCACTGCTAGTGTGCTTTGTTTATTGCAGATAAAAACTAAAAGGGAATGAAATCTACTGTTGTAACTGACGACCTTTACAGCTTCGTCCTCTCAGATGAGCTGAATTCTGATGGCTTACGAGAAAGTAGGCAGCTGGAAAGTCCCTTGGCTCCCTCACAGCCCCCATGGTGCATACCCACTCACAGTGGTGCTTCATTCAGATTCCCAATGAGCCCTGACACCCAGGCTGGACCTGTGCCCACAGGAGCTCAGGAAGCGCAGGGGAAGCAGGCATCCTGCAGCTTCCCCAGTGGTGAGCAGCATCTAGTAGTGCCCACCACCGAAAAGGATGGGCGATACTCCCAGAAGGGGGTTTACAAGTGCTGGATGTGAACAGCCCCCTCATTTTGCAAGCCACCAAATGTCTGCTGCAATGCATTTCTAGTACAGCGTGACCTCTCTGGGACTGCCATCGTGTTCTGAATGAAGCTCACACAGCTACCACAAAGCTGCTAATTTAGTAACACGCTTAATCACAATTCTAACTTGCAGATCATTAAGAAAGCCCAGACTTACACATGCAATCTGGTTCTAAGCAGCTGACACCATTTCCTTCTTCCAAGGAGAGAATAAATAAAATTATTAATGAAATCACAAAAATCCAGCGTGCAAATTGCTTGTAGTTCCCTGCTCACACATTACTCACTGAAAAACTTTTCTTGCTATATGGCACACGTTCTGTTTCTTTCTGTGACATCTCAGTGCTAAGCACTACATTTCTGCCAGTGGCACACCTCACTGTCTGTAATGAGTCCAGCGAACCACCAACATGCAGCGTCAGTATTTCCACTGCTGTTACCTGCACTGTGGCATCTCCAAGCTAAAGATCGTAGAGATGATGATGTGCCCAAAGTCCAGTTTGGATAATGTATCCAAATGGAACAAATTTTGTTCATTATTTGATTTCACAGGCACTTAATCATACAAAACGATGCCTAGCTGGCACAGTGGTAGATGAACTAGGGAAAGATTAGATTTGTCAACTGTGACATTAAGATCAGCACAGCCTAGCGTGATTCCCTCTCTCCTCACACTCTCTTAGATGTGGGAGGTGTGATCTTCTCTCATTCTTCGGCATTGGGGTGATGTCAAATTAGGAACCCCATAAGCTGACACCAAATGGTGGGAACGGCTGCTTACCAAGCCCGCTGTCTTCCTTGCTAAAGCACCGTTTGTGTCACCCCTGAGGAGATCAGCTACGTACGTAGGACAATCTGAGGGATCGGCTAGAGAGCTCAGCAGTTTGTAATGCTGTTAAACAGTAAATGTAGGAAAGCCAGTAAATGCTTTGTAAACTGCTTCGTGAATTGCTGCCGGGGAAGAGGAGCTGGTCAACGTGTACTAGGGCAGCTTGCTCAGAAGGCACAACAGAAAGCAGGGTCAGGAGGGAGCACTCAGTGCTTCCAGCAAAACCCCAGCCTGCCACACCTGAGGCACTTCCTTCGTGCTGGAAGGGAAGGAGCCAAGCCACACAGTGCCCATACAAATTACACTGCTGTTTTTTTTATGGATGAGACGTATCCTAAAAACTCAAGGTGAGAGGTAATAGCTAAGGAAAAACCTGTTAAGTTTGCCCTAGAATTACATTTCAAGTTTAAACGACTCCCGGTCATTCTTGTTTTCCAGCCTTGTAATTAGGAGCTTGCCCTTATGCCCGGCTGTAGTAAACCTTTAATTTGATTAATGCTTGCACTTGACTAGCGCTGATGACAAGCCGAGGTGAAGCTAACAAACTTCAGAGTACTGTCTATCTTGTGAGAAGCTCCAAACACATCCAAGTAAAGAAGCAGCTTCTTGAGGAACTGCCCCCCAAGACATGTGTAAAGGATCAGCAAACAGAGTGTGCAATGTGTTCCTTTGTAGGTATGAGAATTAACAAGAGGACAAGAGTTTTCACGTGCTTGATTGCAGAAAGATGCTGGCTCTGACAGACACAAGCCAACATCCCTCCTGCAAGGAACAGGTGCCTGGATCTTACAGTCACAGATATTTCCTATGGTCAAGATATTTTCCTTATAGTCACAAATTTCCCCGTAACTCTGCATTTTAATTTGTACAATCGGCATCTCAGGAAGACAGACCGAAAGGCAGGGTTTTCACTTAGCAGAAGTGAAAATGACTTTTGATTTGGGTATCATTTAATTTTCATCCAATTCAAGCAAAGCCAACAGACACAGTGTATCCCTGCAACGCAGGACGCTTGAGGAAAACTCCCCTTGGAACACGCTGATGTTCAGTGTGCCCCAAAAAAGCAGCCACTCAGCCAGGTGGGCAGGCTTGTCCATCCCGTGACTCCTAACAGGACCGAGAGCAGCATGCAAGCCCTGAAGTACGGTTCCTACGGTGCTCTGCCAGGAACCAAAGCACTTTTCTAGGGGAATCCTGCCCGCTACTTGATGACAGTCTGTTGAACTGTTGCTGCTGTCGCTAGTCGCAATCCCCTTATGAAAGCTTTCTGTGCAAAGCTGTCACAGCCGGGTCTGCTACCCGTAGAGCGGGCAGTCCTTCAGCCACTTAGCCTTGTAGGTCATGTTCTGGAGAATGAAAGATCACGGTTTATTGTGGTGAAACTGCCTGCAAGTGAAACACCAGTAGGTTAGTGTTTTATTGAAACGGCGACGAATTTAGCCCGCAATTTCAAGAAACGGAGCAGCGCACCCTGACAGAGCCTCAGAAGCTATAAATTACAGCAGCCCTCCCCGTTAGCAGCCCAGAGAGCCATGAACATCCTCAGCCCCGCTAACCTCTTAACCGGATCCCTACTGAGCAGCGAGGTGCGTGATCTCCTGAGCTGGAATCGGCGTGTAAGGGCAGGTTCTCCTGCGCTCCGACCTCCTTGATGTGCCGCTCGTCCCTTTCAGGAAGGTTACAGTCACTTAGATGCAGTCACATTACAGTCACATCCCCTCACCTCAGCACCCCAGTGGCAGCACCCCTTGCTGCAGGCCCACCCGCTGCGACACCGCCTTTCCCCTGCATCTCCCTGCTCTTCTCCGGCCATCTCCTGCTCCACCTGCGCCACATCCCCACATCCTCCCCCTGCCCTCACCTCTCCTTCGCTGGGAGGGGAGGCCAGGACTCGCGGGCGGCTGCCACAGGGCAGCGGGGCGAGCATTTCACCGATTTCTTTTTTTATCGTGGATTCTTTTTAACGTGGCTGCATTGGGACGGGCTGCGGGATGCCCCTCACAGCCCCTCAGGCGCGACATGGCGGCGGGACACCCCCTCCCCGTGACAGGAGACCCCCTCCCCGGGTCCAGGGGGGAGGACACGGGGATTTGTGGGGGGGGGACACGGGGATTTGGGGGGAGCCCCGGGGCTGCAGGAGGAGGAGGAGGAGGAGGAGGAGGAGGGAGGCGGGGAGGAGTGAGGGGGGGGGCGCTGAGGGAGGGGGCTGCCGCCCCGCCCTCCCCCAGCACAGGGATGACGTCACCCCCTCCAACCGTCCCAACCGTCCCAACCGCCGCCCCAACGGCCGCCCGCGGAGCCCCGCGGGGAGGGGGCACCCCCCTTGTGCCCCCCGTTATCCCCCTCCGTCCCCGCCCGGCCGCGCGGCGACCCCCCCGGCTCTCCCCCCCCCCTCCCTCCCGCCTCGCCCCTTCCCCACGCCCACGACGTCATCCCCCCGGGGCTGGCAGGCGGCCGGGCAGCGGCTTCACCCCACCGCGCCTCGCATGCGCGGGGAGCCCGGCGCCGGCGCGGTGAGGCGGCGGCGCAGGCGCTCGGGGTGGGCGGCGGGGCAGCTCCTGCGCTGACACCTGCAGCATGTGCCAGGAGCTGCAGCGGCAGCCGCCGCCTCTGCCTCTGCGCGGCGCGGCCGCCCCGCTCCGGCGGCGGCGGCGGTGGTGGCGGTGCAGGAGGAGGAGGAGGTGGTGGTGGCTGTGGAGGAGCAGCAGCAGCAGCAGCAGCAGCAGCTCCGCTGGCTCCGAGCGGCTGCCGGCGTCCCTGCCTCCCGCCCGGCAGCGCCTCGCAGGTGAGCGTTGGCCGCCGCCGCCGCCGCCGCCTGTTGCCGCGCGGCCGTTGGGGAGCCCAACGGCCGCTGCGCCCCGCTCCGGGGGGTTGGCGGTTAACGGCTGAGGGGATGAGGGGCTGAGGGGATGAAGGGATGGGGAGCGCCTCAGGGAGCCGGGAGGGGTCCCGGAGATGGGAGAGCCCCCCCCGGGGAGCGCCTCAGGGCTGGCGGCCAAGCGGTACAAGTTCTGCAAGTTGCCGTGGCCGCTGTGGGGATGCGGGGGTGAGGGCTGAGGGGCTGCCCTGCCGCGGCTCTGCAGCTGCTCGCTGATTGCCCAGCGCAGCACCCGGCTGCCTCTCCCCTACGTGCATCGCTGGGTGCTCGGTGCTCACCTGTGCCGGCCGCTGCCTGTGAGCCAGCGTGAGGTACAAGGCAGTGCCATAGTGCCATCTTACAGCCGCGTCCTCACGCTGGTCCTCAAAAGAGCTCGATCCTATTAGCACATCTCAGGGTGTTACCCGGCCGCCAGGTCCCTTCCCGCGTTTCTTCAAACCCAGCTCGAGGTCTCTGTGTGTGTGTGTGTGTGTGTTTTACGTCGGTCTTCTCTTCATTTGTCACGAGACGGGGTTGCGATCCGAAGAACTGCATGCCTAAAAATAAACCTCTCCTCGCTATAAAAAAAGTCACACGTAAAACATCAGCTCCTGACCCAACCTCGGCGCGCTGTGGCTGCGGTCGGAACGAGGCGCTACGGTTTTGCAGCGGTAGAAGTAAAGACAAAACTAGGCACGTGCGCACGCTGTGGTCAGAGGCAAGTGGCTAATTCACAGATGTAATACTCGGGATGCGTGGCTCCGCAGTGGTGTGTAACTATTTCCACAAGCAGGTTTTGGTGTGCCACTGTTTCTGTGCACCCGTGCCTGAACTATGCGTGCTCAACCATGGTGGATTCAGCGCTCTCTTGGAAGCACCTCAGGCCCCCATAGTGACCTCAAGCATGTGGCTGTCATCGCTGTGTGGCAGCATGACCGACTGATTCCACAACTGGAAATCTGGAAAAAAGCACAGAGTACGCTATGGGAAGGCGCTGGGCAGCAGTCTATTGAGGTTTAGAGAAAGGCGACGGATGGATTTATTGTTTTTTGTTTGGCTTTGGAAGATTTAGTCCTTCATTAATGATTTCCTTGACTTCTGCAGTCGTACGCTGTCAGACTGGAGGATAGATGATCTCCTCCTGTCCATTTTACTCAGTGTAAGTCTATTCAGAATAGCCTTTAATGGTCGGCACTGATCTAACTGCCATGCCAGGCAAATAATTGCACTGAGATCAATGAACATATACTGACATGAAACCGAAAAGAAAATCGGTCTCATGGTGTTTCATATTTGTATACCAGCAAGTCAAAAATAGCTGTCATAAACGCAGTGTATCATTTCAGGAAAAAAGAGTCGATGCCCACCTTACAGTTGTCCAAAAAGTTTCTTTCTTCCATTTCAGCAGCTTTTGGTTAGCAAAGTGAAGGCAGCAGTCTTGGAATGAGAACTATTCTGCAGAAACTTTTTGTTCCAGTGACTAATCTCCTTCTCTTTAATTCCGTGGTCTTAATCTTATTTTGCCCATGTACCCGCTATTAGCGTTGGCCAAGGACTGTTTTCTTAGACAGGGCCCCTTAAGTTTGTCGCCAGGTGTCGCAGGGTTAATTCTAATGACTGTGCTTTAAACTGTTGCTCTTTGCGTTAATTACATGTGTTCCTATCTCTAGGCACAACAGCCAAATGTAAGTGGTGTGCAATGTTACATTCCAATTAGTTTTGCTGTGCAAACGTGGATTGTAGTTGACGGGTAAGTCTGACATGCACTGCATGGCTTGTCGTGTTTTTCCTGGAGAGAGGGGGGTCTTGGGCCTGAGTCACCGTGGAAGAACATGGAGCCCCGCAGGCACAAAGCTGGTGCAATGGAGTGATGAGTCAGACCTCTTATCTTTAAATTTGGTATTGTGTGGTATTCAGAGACTGGGTGCATTGTGTTCATTGTGTACCTAGGCAAGTAACTAGCGAGTGAAAAACTCACTCAGACAATCCTCTGCCTCTGCGATGCCTTTTCTTTGCAGAGCTGATCCTCCTTCCATCGAAGTAAAAAGCTGTTGGTTTGGATCATGGGGGAAATGGGGGTTTATCAACTTGCTGAGCAGATCAGGTCTGCCAGGCAATGTGTTCGTTTCCTACGTTGTCTCAAATCCAACAGCAGTATGACCTAATGCTCGCATTTTCACGTTACGCGTTGTAGATTCGCATCAGCGTTCTTAGAGTTCCGAAAGTGGATCAAGAGTAGAGGAGTAAGAGCAGCATTCCAGCTCCCTAGGTCCCAATATCTCTCTGTGGTGGGTGTTGCTGTGGACTGACAACTTTGATTCTAGAGATTCCAGAGGAAACTGGTGTTACTGCTAAATTAAGAAAAATGAAATTTCTTAGAGATAGTAGCCTCAGAAATATGTTAAACAGTGGGAGTGAAGACTGCTCACGCAGCTATTTTCAGGAACAAAACAAAGCCTTATGTCAGAGGTGTCCTCAGTTAGGCGCTCATTCTGAACTTCCTTGAATGGTAATCGTTAATAACACCATCTTCTCGAGCTAACAGAGCATGAAAATTCCTTCATTTATAATCATTTAGCGGCATGCTTGAAATTCTGTCCACTTACGCAAACAGCACAGGAACAACACTTTTGCTGAAAATCAGGATGGGGGTGGGGGATGGACATGCAGGCAGGGGGGCAATTGTGTGGGGAGTAATCCGAATGGCCTGGGAAGAGTATAATGCAGAGGCTCGCTCTCCTGCTTCATGGCAAAAGCTACCAGAGAGAGTGTGCTGGAAACATTATATGAGGCTTTTGCTTGAAAATTGTAGCAGAACATTATTGATCTGTATATTTTTAAATCTTAGTGAATGTCACCAGTCACCATTTTGTGATCACGACAGGCATTAGCACTAGTTTGGGAGGGGGTGTTGATGGTCTTGGGAAAAAAAATAAAGTCTTCTCACATTGTCTTGAATTGGAAAACTTACAATGAAGACATACTGGAAAGCATGCTGGAAAGATGTGGCAATTTAGATCTAAATCATATCAACTCCAATCAAGTATAAATGCTTTATTTGTTTTAAAGTTAGCAGGTACACCTCTGTGTTCTCTAGATGTATAGATTTCTAAAATGTTACATGTGGAGAAATACAACCTGCTATCAACACAGGGAGGGTTCAGCAGTCTCAGCAGTTGAGATGAAATGCAAAGCCGCTTGCAAGAACTTGGAGGTGCCAGTGGTCTGTGTGTCCAGGCGTGGAGATCAACAGACCTAAGACCAGTTGATGAGGAAAGTGATGCCAAAACTTTGGAGATTTCCAGGAGAAAACGTATCAAGTGTAGAGACTAGAGGTCTAAGAAAAGCCTTTAAATACACCATGTTTGGGTTTAATTACCTTAGAATTGGAACACCATAAAGTTGCAAGGTGATAGATTAGCATTTTGCTATTAACTTCAGTAGAGCCAGGGTTTTCCGTACTACTTAGGATAACCAGGACTGAAATATTTGGGGCCAAATTCCTCTCTCATTTATGATGATGTAATTCCAGTCCCGGTGTATTTTCTTCCTCGCAGTGAAGAGAAAGAGCTGACAACTCTACTAGCTATCTGCAGCATATCCACAACTCCTGCTAGAGAACATAATTACTGCGTAGTGCTCCAGTGTGCTATTCAAAACCCTTACCATTAACTCTGTCATGTCATCGTGTCCTCCTCTCTCTGCTACGTGTGTGCTGGTGCTGTGAGAAGTACTGCAGACAGTCCACGTACTGGCGGGCATGCCACAAGGACCTGCAGGGAAATCCTCACCTGCCTCTTTTGCTGTACAGTGGCTGCGTTTCTGTAAGGGTGCTCTGTGTAGCCAGAGCAGCTTGTACAGAGAAATGCAGAGACTTCTGTAATTGTTCAAATGCGATTACAGCTCCACAGAGTTCCACCCTATAATGTACAAGGTACAAAAATAAAGGCTCTTTTTAGTTAAGTCATCTACCAGACTGATGCCAAGAAGCAATGCGATATCTCAAATTATTTTTATTTCTATTTTTTGCAAACTTCTTAGCTGGAAGAGATGTCAGAAGAGCCAGGGGTGGAGATCTACAAAAACAGAGTAGACTCAGGTGGAATTTCCTCGTGTAGTGGTCTGGATGTCTCTGCTTATTTTATTTAAAATGAAATCCAAACTTCAGAAGCATGCTTGATTTTTCTTTTCTCTTGGCGCTGACAAGCTCTGCCTTGGCTTTGTTGTCTAAAGAGGTAACAGCAATTAAAATGTGATGTGACAGCGACTTCTATGAACTGTTTTGTGATGTAAGAATCATAACGTAAGATTTTTTCTGACATGATGGATATTAACAGGGGAAAGGAAATCTTTCAGCATTACCAGGGCTTTTCAGCAGCTCAGCCGGAGCTTCCTCCTGCTTGCTAACAATGGCGTGTGAGTTGAGGCCCATCCAACTGGCAGAACTCCTCTATAGCGAGGTCTGACCGTGTTGGTTTAAGCAAAAGCCCGATACCAGTTTGCCCTTGGGCCTTCCTGGGGAACAGAGGAGCTCCTGGTGTTGTGCCAAAGTGTGCTTGTCATACTTAAGGGCGACTAGATGCAATGAAAGCAACGAGACCACGCTGAGCTGTGCAGCTTGGGTGGTGCCAAAGGGTGGAACTGTTCTTGCACCCTGCCCTTGGTGCCTGCAGGGTGGGTGAGCAGCCTCCAGAAGGAAGAGCTGCGTCCAGCAGTTCCAGGCATCTTGGTTGTGAAGTCCATGGGCTACTGGAGAAAAGGAAAGGCAGAAGATAATGCAACTTTTTTTCTGGAATGCAATTATTGCTATTAAAAGATTAAAACCCAAAGGAAAGCACAACCCACCTGTCTTCAAGTAATAAAGATGAAACCACATACAGGGAAGGAAAGAAAAGATCAGCTTCCATCAGAAACTGAAGGGGGAGCAG